AGAAACTTTGAAAGAAGAGAAACGAGCGAGACTTAGGGGTGGTTTCGGAGTGAACGGAGTTAGGTTAGGTTCTGACTTAGGTGAAAGAAGGGGTGAACGAAGGGGTGAAGGAGATGTTAAGGAGGGGGTAATACACCTACCACCCTAGGATTTTCTTGTAGAAAGACCAAAGTGATCTACTCGTAACGTTCTCGTGACATTCGTTGGGTTCGTAGGAAGAGTAAAGAACCTCGGCGGAGACTCTTCAAAAGTAACAGCCTTCGTGTTCTCGTTTTAACGAAGCAAAGATTTGAAAGCTTTATCGAATTAGTTACCAGAACGTTGAGTTTTGAAGCAACGATGCATGGATATTATTCCATGCTCGGACGACATTTTTTCCATCATTATTATTTGAATTTAATTATTATGTATATTCTTATCATCATTTTTTTTATTTTTTTTTTTTTTATTTCTATTTCTAATTCTTTTTCTTTTATTTGATTCGATTTTTTCTTTTATTACAAGTTTGTTCTATTTTTCAATATTCTATATATATATATATAACAGATAGAAGATTATAATAAAAATAATTGTAAATACGATGAGTAATTAATTATTATAAATTAATTTTAATTTATTTAATTATATTAAAATGATCAGTATAATTTACAACCGACAATATTTTACTATCTTATTACTTATATTTAATAAATATATTGACAACTTTTTAACCAATTTTTTTTTTTTTCTACACAAAAATATTGAACATTTTAATGAACATAATATTGAAAATTTGTTTCTTATATTTGAAAACAAAATTTTGATAATACGTTTATTCGTAGAAAACATAGAAAGTTTTAAATAACTGACAATAGATATAATTAAATTCATTTTATTTTATTTCATTTTTTTTTTTAAACTACAAAATTCTATTCAATAACACCCCAACATTAATTCGTGCAGCAACGTTCAATCGAAAGAGTAGAATTTAAAGGTAGGACACAGTAACACATGAACAGAGGGTTTTGTGGGGTGAATTTGAGGTGGACCAGAACAAATGGAAAACTTTGTTTGAAGCGTTTCGACCAACGAAAATGCAGCAGTTCTGTGAAACGATGAGAGGAGAGCATGGACACGACATGCAATACGTTACTGCATGATTTCGTTACTACCAACCGGGTTGCATCTCTCTTGTCATCGGAATATACGCTATCCATAATTATAATCGACGTGACGAATTTTATAATTGTCTAATATTTCTCTCTTTTAGTTTCTTTTTTTTTCTATTTCTATTTCTATTTTTTTAATTAATTTACACTTTTTCTACATTTCTCTCTTTGCTTCTCTCTTTGTCGCACTTTTACTTTCACACACATACACACACACACACACACACATATAGAATTTATTTAATAAAAATATATATTTTTCTTATAATAAATTCTGTTTATTATAAAATTTAATAAATATATATTTAATAAAACAATTATATTTATATATATAATATATAATATAAAATCTTTTTATTAAAATTTATTTTAATATTTATTACATATTTATTAAATATGTATTTAATATATACTTAACATTATAATAAAAAATATTAAAAAAAAAAAAAAGAAATAAAAGTTTTCTACAGAAAGGGTTGAAATTTTCCTTTCTCGAGAGTATTTAACATTTTGCTGAATAATTATCATCCCATTTTTTTTTTGGTTCTTTTTTTTTTAGTGAAATACAACTTTCCATTTGATTTTCTAAAGACGAGAATTATTTGAAAGCTTCTAGAATCGAATTCTATGATGAATCTTCTTCAAATCAATTTGCTCGCCCTTTTGCAAAGAGCTCTTTTCTCCCTTTCCCTTTCCATCCGTTACCCTTCCTTTCTCTTCTCTTCCCTTTTACTTCTCTTCACTTCTCTTTCTCTCTTTGATAAACCGCAAGAAAATGCAAGATTTTCGCAGGAGAGAAGAAATAGAAGTAGAAATAGTAAAAGAAAACGTTTCGCGATTAGATTCTATGTAGCTTTTGAATAATGTATCGTTCGGTGATTCGACGTTTTCGAAGAAAACCGAATCCCCATCCTTCATCCCCAACCCCCACCCCTATCCAAAAAGTTATTGGAAAGATGGAAGAAGAAATAAAACAACCAAAATGAAAATGAACGAATAAAATGAATAAAATTAGAAAAACAAAAAAGAATAAATAATTAAGAATTTGAAAAGTGACGATGAAACTTAGGGCAACTTGATTTAAACCCCTCTTTCTCACTCACACACACACACACACACACACACAAAATAAACATCTTATCATTGATATTATCATCCTTTAGAACAATGAATGAATAAAATGAACAAAATTACAAAAAAGAAGAATAGAAAAATCGAAAGATGGTTGAAAATCTCAAAAGTGACGATGAAACTTATAACAACTTGATTTTAACATCCCACACACACACATAATCAACATATATCATTGATATTATCATCCAGTACATTGATGATAATATGAAATGAACAAAACTACAAAAAAAAAAGAATTGAAAAATCGAAAGATGGTTGAGAATCTCAAAAGTGACGATGAAACTTATGACAACTCGATTTCAACTCCTTTTCTCTGTCTCCCTGTCTCACACACACCCACATTCAATCAAAGTCAATCATTGATATTATCATCCTTTAGAACGAACCAATCAAAATGAAACTGTGCAGTTTATTTTTGCATATGAAAGTACTTTTAAGTAATAAATTCGTAGGGATGTTTCATCTTTGAAAATGAATTTATGCAAAAAAGGGATTTATCCCATTGATGTTATGTCCTTTCGATGATTGATAAAGAGAACAGTGCACTCGTTTTAATTCATTCAATTTTATTATTGAAAAACTCAGTTTTCTTTTGTAACAATATTAAATGCGAATATAATGGAATAAAACCCGTTTTAATTTATTAATTAACGAAATTTCATTTTGAAAATTCATTCACTCACTACGATTAACGGATTATACATTATATATATATATATGTATATGTGTGTGTGTTATAGATTATGCATCGTTAATTTATATTTTATACGTAGATTGAATAAATCGAAATGAAACAAAACGAACAAATGTAAGAATAATAATTTTACGTTTAATTGATTAACGTTTATTATAAAATAAATCAACGCGTTACACCCGATCCGTGAGAATAAAAATAAATTGTAATTTACACAATAAATAAATTAATTAATTCATTAATTCATTAATTAGGTAATTGAATAAGAAATAAAAAAAAAACAATAAACGAATTTTTTCCTTCTTCGAACGTTCTCGTTTTAAACTAAAAACCTAAAAACGATTTTAATCGGGAATGTCTTTGAATGAAACTTGAATCGGAAAGATAAAAAAGAAAATTAAGAGAAGAAGGATAGACATAGATAGATAGATAGTAAGAGAAAGAGAGAGAGAGAGAAAGACAGATAAGATTTTCATTTAGAAGGAAAAGAAAGAAAATCAAATGAAAATTCTCTCTTTCTTTGTCTCTCTCTCTCTCTCTCTCTCTCTCTCTCTTTGGATTCATCGAACAGTACATTTCTTTCGTAATCGACGTTTATCCTCTTTTCAATCAACGAAATCGTTGATCGCGATAAGTTAGGCGAAAAATCGACTCGAATCATCCAATGCGAATACGTCCATGGAAAATATATAAATGATCCCTATACTTCAATGAAGTCGCATGAATTCGAGCGTACATTTGTCACGTGAAAAAGTACAAAAAAAAAAAAAGAAATAAATAAATAAATGAAACGTTAAAAATTTCAATGAAGATTATTATTCGACGAATGATTACGAAAAAAGGAATATTCATTGATGAGATAAAGTTGAATGAATATTAAGGTTTTTTTTTTTAAATGCAAATTAACATGTAAATATAATATTTTGAATCAACTTTTTCTATTTAATTTTTATTCATAGGCAAATAATTTATTTTCAAATAGAAATGATCAAACAACAATAACAAAAATTAAATTTTATTTATATTATAAATTAAAATATAATAAAATAAAACATTTTAATATTATTTTATTATATTTTAATTATAATTTTTTTTTTTTATAAATTATATTATAATATTTAATATAATTTATATCATATTTTATATAATATAATTTAAAATATATAATTTTAATTTATTACAAAAAAAAAAGGTATTTAAATATAATACAAAAAAATATATTTAATAATTAATATTATTTTTTGAACATTTAATTTATTATTATATAAACTATAAGATTTAGTTCAAATTTTATATTACACAACTAAACTAATTTTAATTCCTTCTCTTTTTATTTTAATTTTTAATAAAAATTACTATAAATGAAAAATATCAATTACAAAATATTATTTCTAAATCTTTTCAATTAAATAAAAATCATATCCTAATACGGTTTACTTATTTTTCTTTTAATTCTTTTCTCGTATTTTGTTTCTTACTTTATTTCTTTCTTGTCATATATATTTTACACATACATGTACTACATAAACATACAGAAATATATATATATATATATATATTTGTCTTTCTTCGAAGCGAGTGAAAAGCATGTGAAATTGTTCCGGACGAGTATAACCGAGAGGAACCACCTTTTATTCGAGCACGTGCATTCTTTACACCCGTAATATTTCAACAACGCGACAACCCTAGTATACGTCTGTCTTATACAGAATCCAAGCTTGACTACGCAAAAAATATTGTTGAGAATCGGTGAAGAAGAAAGAAACGTTTGTAAAATAATCAAACAATTTTTCCTTAATTTTTTTTTTTTTTTTTATAACGATAATAAGACCATAACAATAAAAATTCCCCCAGGTATTTTTGTTGTAAAAACCAACACGAATTATACGAATACGTGGAATATTTGTTTAAAGATAAACAAAATGTTGATAAAATGATACGATTTTGATATTTCGAATGATATCGCAAATATTTATAAACAATACGATTAGAATTAATTGAAAGATAAGATAAAAATAACTCACCCTGAGGTACGACGATAAGCAGGAATAAAATCGGCAGACTATTTGTGATCATCCAAAATTGTATCCTTGGGAAAGAACCCGTAATAGTGTCGTGCGCCATTATGGCAGATTTTATTCTTCTTTTTCCGGTCCACCTTCGAATCACCGATATCAAAAACTTCTACACATACGCATATACACGCACATATAAATATATACATATACATATATATCAAGATATGAATTATAAATATAAATATTAATATCTATTTAATATTTATATTTATATCATATACATATACATATTATATATATGTATACATATATATATTTATATATATTATAAAAATACACACACAATTCTCGTAGAAGAGATGATTGTTCCACGAATAAGACAAAAATTAGTTTGTTTATTGAAAGTTTTCGTAAAAACACGTCTTCTACGTTAAATTCGAAGCTCCGAATTTTGATTGAAATTGAAAAAGGTTCCACTTGGTCGCGCTTTTTTTTACTATTCCTATTATTACTATTATAATTATTAATAATAATTTCACAGAAACGAAAACAATTGTCATGATCTAAAATCCCGTGACCGTGACAAACAACACCCCATGTAACTTTCAACCCCTATCGTTCTTCTTATTCGACTAAATGTCCACGAACACGAACGTTAGGAAGAAAATCGTCAAACCATCATCACAACCCTCCACCACCCGATTTCGCCGTCATAACCGAGCGTCCTCTTTCAGATTATTCGACGATGGGCTATCGCGCGATCGAGGGAACCCAAGCCTCGTCCTTTCGCACCACCACCTCCTCCACCACCACCCACCACCACCACCACCACCACCACTAACACCACCTTCTCTTTCTTCTTCTTCTTCTTCTTCTTCTTCTTCTTCCTCTTCTTCTTCTTCTTCTATCACGAAACTCCCCGTTTTTCTTCTTCCTCTCCTCTCCTCTCTTCTCCAACACACCTCCACCTCCTCCACCTCTTTTTCTTCTTCCTTCTTCGTCTTTTTTTTCTTCGTAGGATCGCAATCTGTCGTACGCTACGCTATTTTTGTTTTTCTCGTTGTTGTTGTTTTTGTTTTGGTTGTTTTGGTTGTTTTAATTGTTGTTGTTGTTGTTCCTCTCGTATGATCCCTCCTCCTCCACCAAAATCCAACCATTTTTTGTCTTCTTCCTCTTCTTCCTCTTCTTCTTCTTCTTTCTGAAAAGAATTTTATAGAAAAAAAAATCACCCCTCTTTCGTATTTCTTTCGACATTTGTATTTTTTATTTTTTTCTTGCTTTTTCAAGTTTTTCCTTTTGCTCCTAATTTTTTTCTTTTTTTTTTTTTTTTTTTTTTATCCAGAACAATTAACGATCATATCAAGTTAATGATACAGGAATTTATTGTAAAAAATACAAATGAAACAACATATGGTATACATTTTTTTGTCCTATATTTTATTTATTTTTTTTTTTTTTATTCGATACGTCAACTCGTATTATCTACGTTATACGTGCATATCTTTTCAAAATGTTTCGGACGTTTCCGTGTTTGAGTAAAGAGATAATACTAAACCTATTCGTTTTACTTTTTTCTCTATCTGTCTCTGTCTGTCTTTGTATTTCTTTTTATTTCTTTCTTTCTTTCTTTCTTTCTTTCTTTCTGTTTTATTCTCGGAGCTGACGAAAAATAATTGATTACTTTGATCCTTGACGAATCTGTCAATATCCTACAACGGATTCTTTTCTACTAAAATTTTTTCTTTTTCCTACTATCAATAAACAAATGGAAAATTGTTTTCTAATCATCACATTTACCTGTTACCCTTTGTGTCAAAACCAGAGACTTAAAAAAGAAAGAAAGTCTAATAAGTTTATTTGCAATTTTTTTATTTATTATTTCTGAAATACAATTTGACGTATTTTAAATAAAATATTGAGAGCGAGAGAGAGAGAGAGAGAGAGAGATAATGCGTAAACAACAACAAAAAATAAATAAATAAAATCATATATAGATAATAAATAATAAAAATTATAATTTATTATTAAGTATATTAAATAATTATAATATAATTTATTATATATACATATATGTATAGAATAAACAATATGAAAATTATATATATTAAAAATATATTAATTAATATACCATAATTAATATATAATTAATATATAATAAATGTATATTTTTTTTTAATTTTTTTTTTCGTATAAAATATCAAAGGATATTAAATCCTTACAATTTTTTTTTTTCGTTGAAACACCATGAACAAAAAAATATGACTGATGACTGATTCGAAATAAATTTGTAGTTTTTTGGGGGGGATTTTTTGTTTGTTCTTTTTGATTTGTTTGATAGGAAACAAAAGTAATGTACCTATCGTAAAAGTGAACGAGCCTTTCGAAGGTTCGTTGTCTCTCTCTCTCTCTCTCTCTCTCTCTATCTCTTTCTCTCTTTCTCTCTTTCTCTCTCACTGCTAATAGCAATCCCCTCGTTGTCCAGGACATTATAAACGCGCGAACTACTCATTTAAACGACACCAGTTATTTATCGAGAGACACTTCGATATAACGATTTTTACGAGCATATCGAAAATCGAACTACGTTCGTATATTTACTCTCTCTCTCTCTCACACATACATATTCTCTCTTACTCTCTCTCTCTCTCTCTCTCTCTCTCTCTCTTTTTGTCTCTATCTATTTAACTATCTTTCTCACATTCGAAAGGCTCATCATTTTTCACGATAAGTGCAAATATTTAAAATCCTATCATTATAACGAAAAATAAATAAATAATAATATATTTTGTTGTTTGTTCGTTTGTTTATTATCTCTCAATTCTCACGAACTATGTGCATCAAAATTTTAATTACAGAAAAATAAAATCAACTCGTTGGAATAGAATGACAAAAATTATTCTTAATGCGTGTAATAGTTTTAACAATTTAATTTTTTTCACAATAAAATTCACATTCAAATTACAAGAAAATACGAAATATAATAAGAAATTTTTTAATTATCTCTCAATTGCACATTCTATTCCAAATATATATTTTTTTTTTTTAATTTCTAAGAAACTAAACCAAACAAAAACGAAATTAAAATATTAGATATATATATATATATATATATATACATGATAAAAAGATAATTATTAATCATACATTCTATTTCAAATTGTTTTTCTAAATTTCTAAGAAACTAAATAAAAACCAAAATATTACATATACATAGGATAAAAAAATAATTACAAATTCGTTACATACCACGCTCTCGTGTCTCGCAGTATCGCAAGCACCAGAGTCGAGTTTTCCAATAGAAGGACAAATGAAAGTCCTTCGTACTATGATAATACACTAAATTCACATGTGTCCCCGACACGATCCATCCTTTTTAAGCAATAGGACACCCATTCGTCCGTTATCCATTCGGGTGATCCCTTTTCGCGTTTCTCTTCCATAACACAATTATTCTTCCCTTTTTACACTGATAATTTCTGTCACTCAGCTATATCTATCTTTCTTTATTTCCCCAACACTTCCTAAGAAAGAATTCAATCGTAAAAAGAAAATTTACATTTTTTTTTTATCAATATTGCATTTCCTTTTTCTATTCCGTTTTATTTTTTATTTTTTTATACCAATTTATACGCGCACGATGTGAACGCGTTATTGAATTCGCGCTACAAACAACAAATATACAAACAAAAATAAAACAAAAATAATAATAATAATAATAATAATAATAATAAAAAAAAAGAAAGAAAAATATGAAATAAATCAAAATACAAAATACAATATTAAAAATAATAATACAAAAGTATAAATATAGTAATAAGAATAACAACAATAATAATAATCATCGTCATAATGAGAGGATGCAGGATACTAAAATAGAGAAATAAAAATACTAAAAAGAAAATTAAATTTTGTAATAAATTGAGGAATGGTCGTCGTCGGTCGAGGAATACTAGCAAAATATCGAGTGCTAGTGCATCCTCGTAATACTTCTTTTCCACGTCTCACTACAAATAAGAAGCACCTTCGTCGAGGTCCGCGACGCGTTCCATTCCAATCCGTACGCGGCGTACTATGATGTGCGTTCTCGCTCGGCCGGCCACTCGCTTAAGCGCGCGCGCGCGCACCTTTCTCTCCCTCTCTCTCTCTCTCTCACACACACTCTCTCAATATATATGTGTATATATTATATATATATGTGTGATATTTCTGTCTAACTCTCTCTCTCTCTCTTTCCTTCACTTTGCTTCCCTCTAACTCCCAATCCCCCTACCACCTCTACCTCACCTCCACCACTTCATCCACCACCACCACCTCCTCCTCCTTCAACGAGGGCGCAACACGGTGCCACCGTCGCTGCCCCCGTATCCAGGCAACTTCCTCGAGCGTGTTACCCTCTCCTCTTTTACTCCTCTTGAACCAGCAACAGCAGCACCACCACCACCAGGACCACCAGTACCACTACCACCTTCTTTTCATCCCTCTCTTTATCTAGCTCTATTTCTCTCTCTCTCTCTCTCTCGCGCGCGCGCTCTTTTTCTCTTTTGCTTTCTTGCTTTCTTTCTTTCTATCCCCTGCTGATGAGTCGTTGTCTTCCAACAGCTCCTTTATCGCCTACAATCCAACACTACTATTACTACTACTACAACTACTATTATTACTATCCTCGTCTTTCACCTCCTTGTTCATTCCTCTCGTAATCCTTATCTTCCTTAGAAGTACAACCAGTCTAATGTGTCCATCGAACCAACTCTCAAGTCAAAAACATCACAAATTGGAAGATTCTATATCCTAATTCTCATTTATTCTTTCATATCGTTCTTTCTGACAGTAATGATAAGAATAATGATAAGATTTTGTCATATGTGACGATAAAAATTTATCCAATGTCAAAGAGAAATGTGAATGCACGAATCAGGTGGTTTAAAACACAAAAATTAAGGGAGAACGTGACGTGAAAGTACGTGACGAACTTTGTTAAGAGTTTGTTCATACACGCGTGTTTTTATTTCTTACTTTTGTTTGTTTGTTTGTTTTTTTCTGAAGAGAAAAGAAGAAAGATATGAAAAAAAAATTATAGGTGAAAAAAGAGAGAAAGTGGTAGAAACGAGGATCCTCGCGAGTCCCGTAGTTGGCGGTGTTTTCTCGCGAAACGAAGGACGAGCGAGGGTCGTTTAACCACCAGTACTACTACCACCACCACCACCATCACCACTGCCACCACTTCTACCAGCAGCACCACTACCACTACCACTAAGCAAGACCACCACTTCTACCAGCACCACCTACACCACCATCATCATCAACACCATCACTGGAGCACCACGCCGTATACCGGCGTGTACGCTTCGCAAAGTTGATGATAATGTGCCGATGATGTGCTTTTTTCACATTCAAATATTTTAATAACTAAATTAAACAAACGAATATAGATTAACAATACAAATTAATAAAAAAAAAAGTGTGTGTTATTTTATAATAATAAAATAAGCGAAAAGTTTGATATAATATTTACGTTGACTATCGTATCTTCATATGTCGAAATATATTCTCTCGAAGATAAAAAGTTCAATAGATTTGCTAGAGAAAGATTGAAAGAAATTTAATTGGGATAATATAAATTAAAAGAAAATGTCAAATCTTTCTTTCTTTCTTTCTTTCTTTCTCTCGATCTTAAAAACTTAAGAGAGCAATGAAGAAACGGAACAGCAGCAACCAGCAAACCGGCCGTGGTGTTCCCTACGACTCGCAGCCACCACCGGCGCGATATAGATGCGAGAAAAGCACCCCGCATCTCGTGTAAGCCCACCACCACCACCCCTACCAGCACCTCCATCACCGGTACCACCACCCCTAGAAGAAGAATATTTTCTCCTCCAGTCTCCCTCTCTAGTTTCCCTCCCGGCTAACCCCCACTCTTGATCCAGCAGGAGCCTGCGGAATGGTCCAGCACGTAGCCACCGGTTCCCCCACTTCCAACAACTGGGTGATCTGAGGACAGGGGTGAGGAGAGAAGGGAACAACTGCCTGGGCGGTGGAGTACACCCATCTCCCAGAAGCCCACCCCACAGATCAATATTGTGCCCACCATCGTCGTGTACAGGAGAACTCTCTCACTCTTTCGTTTTACTTCACCATCTCTCTATCTCTCTTACTCTAAACTACCTAACACCATAGCTCTGAAACCGTAAACCTTCCCTCCCTTCTCCTACCCTCATATCCTCTCCTATTTTTTCCTCTCTTTCTCTTTCTCTTCTATCTTGGTTTCTGTGTTATACCATATCTATCTCTGTAAATATTTCATAGATCCGATTTATCTCTAAAAGATTTTCCGATACCTTTGAATAACACCAACTAGTAACCAAGTAGAGATGAATTTTCCTTAGTTCTCGAACTAAGTTTCATTACTAAAATTTCTCTAACTAACTCTACGTTTATTATCCTTTTTCTTCAAAGAGGGAAAGATAGAAGAGTTTAGTGATGCGTGGCCCCGGTAACGTTGCTACCACCAGAGGTGGTATAGACCGCCGGGCCAACCAGGGGTGTTTGCCCTCGACGTGCCCTCGTGCAACGATCCGAACCACCGTTTACTGAAATCGGCCTCCAGGATATGTTGTTGCTGTTTCAACGTACTACTACCTGATGACCCCATGTACGATAGGGTTTTTTCAACTCTTATTGTTAAATGTAATGATATCTCTTTTTATTTGTTTTGTACTTATTCAGTCTTCTATTCTAGATCTTTCAAATGGTCTTATGTTCTACCCCTAATCTTCAATATTATCTTATTACTTGAACTTGTTCAAAGTCAATAATAATCATTATCGTTGATTATCAATCATTGTATAGTTTATACACAGATTATTCATTTAACATAAATAATATTTAAATAAATCTTAATAAAATATCTTGTAATAACCATTTATCTATGATATAATAATATTTTTATTTATACTTATATATATATATATATATAGGGTGCAACTAAAAATATGATTTTTCCTACAATGTTATTTTCCAAATAAAATATATCATTTTCTTGATTACATAGTTGCTATATTCAGGTCTTGTTTACTTGTAAATTTATTTATGTCAAAATCAATAAAAAGAAAATTTGTAAAATGTGATAAAATATTTTTAATTTGTTTTAAAAAAATTTATCAAATATAAATAATTCCTAAAAATCATTCAAATTATTATCTCACGAATTACATATTTCACCAATAAAAAGGAAATATATTTATTTTATTTATATAATTATTATTGTACGTATCATCATTTTAATTTATAGTTGAAGACAATTCATTTTATAAGCTATATATAATATATTAAAGAAAGCTCGACAACGTATTCGTTCATTACAAATATAAGGATTTAATTAATTTCCTTAGTAACATGAGTTTTAATCAAATGAAGTCTTATCATGCAAAGACGTTATGATATTCCGAATAGAAACGCATTCGTTCTCAAGTGATCCTACTTTTATCATGAATGATGATTAATTATATGAAACACCTGTTCTACGCAACATTTCTATTCTCATTGTACCTGCTGTCAATTGAACCCGATGACAATATGTAATTGCCATTAACATAAATGTGTGAATAAGTAAAATTAAAAGTTTATCATTTAATACAAATAGTAAAAGTTGACAAGAATCTGAATATATTTCTTTTTAAGATTGTTGATTAAATTATTAAAAAATTCAATAATTTTTTAATTATAAATATTTTGTCATTGTAAAAATTTATTTTATCTATTGATGGTTCTATCACATTTAAAATTTTTTATTAATAATAGTTTATCATTATAATATCATGGTGATGGTACTTTATCAATGGATAAATGGTTTCAACATAATTTTATATAAAATTATGATTTTAATTGACCTATTTATTAACAACATTGTAGATACCTACTTGATGAACGGATGATAAGTATTATCTTTTATAAATAAAAATCACTTTCTATTTTAAATGTATATTATTTATAAAAAATTATAGATATCTTCTTAATCTTTTGTTGATAACTTACAATTGAAACTAAACTGATGATAAAGTCTCATTCTCATGAAAATTGTTCGTTTAAATTGCAAATAACTTTTTCAATGATAAAAAAAGAAAACTATATTAACATCAGAAAATAATGTAGATATTCTCATTATCAACGAATACTATTTTACAATTGCAAAAATATTCTTACATGTAGAAATACATACCGGTATTATTTTGGCTATTAAGTGTACCGTGTGTCGATAAGTAATAATCAAAACAATTTTCATCCTTTTTTACAAAAAGTATTACATTTAACCATTTTATAAAAAAAAACTATACGTTATGATTTTTTATATTTAAAACTGTAATAACTAAAAAAATAAATATCGTTTCGATGTTACCTTAGTAATCACCAAAAATGTACAACAGGAATCTACTGTTATCCATAAATAAATAAAATAGAAATCTACATTTCCAACAAAAGTTGATAGAACAGGATTTTACTGTTACTAATTATACGTAAATTTGTAAGTAAAATTATATTGAAGGTCATTTGAAGGTTATAATACAGGTATACCTATAAACGTATTTTTTTATTCCCTAGAAAGTACAATAAAAAAAAAAAAAAATATATGTGCACTTACAAGGTAAAAATAGCAGCGACCTCGAACAAATTTCTGGAATGACTTAAAAAGCAAATTTTTTTTTTTATCTTAAATATAACCTCTTTTTTTTAAAACCAATCAAAATATATTATTATACATTTTTCGTATGATTAAAAAAAAATAGGATCATTTAGCTAGTAACCTTCAACGATGAGACATTTTGTTATAAGGAAAGAAAATGTATTCTTGGTGTACATCCAATAAACATAGTTCCAAAGTAAACATGGCGGTAAATTTAAACAAGAAAATTAAACGTTTCGCAAGACAAATCTTATATTACCAAATAGAAAAAGATAAAATACCATAAGAAATACAAATTTACATGGATTCTATTATCAGTTAATATTAATTTTGTAATTTTCATTACAAAATTACAGATATAAGATAATATTATTATTTTAATACGATCTCGTTTTTCGTATGATTTT